ACTTTTCAGCCCCGATCTGTCCATGTGTACATGTCGGCCATCCGCAAACTTCATGTGGAAGTTTGCTTTACCTACCCGTCGGGCCCAATGACTCTCCTCGCAAGGCTCCTGTCGGGCAGCGACACAGCGTCATCGCCTGCTGATAACCACTCAACTTCTCAGGGAGATTAGCCGGCATGTTGCCTTTCCACATATGTGGCACCCTCATGACAAGGCCATGCTAAGGGCAAGCTGATTGCTTGATTTTAGCTTTACATTACCGCAGTCAGTCCAGCACAATACACCAAACATATTTCACTATTTCACTTGCAGCTGTGAGTATGCATACGGTACATATTCCGGCACATGACTCTATTGCATGCCGGACACTGCTGGTCCATTGTTGCAGTGTGTGAGTGAACTGCAGTACCTATTCCGTGATGGAACACTTACTATTGAAAGACTGAATGTTTGAGCTAATACAGTAATAGTCTTTGACTTCACTCTGATGCTGCTCATATGCTGCTCATATTATACCATACGCCAGAAGACCCTAAGTTAGTTCTAAGATATTGTGGACCATGCGACCATGTGGTACTTTCACTCTACAGCCAAGTCAACCCACTTCGTCAACACACAGGGTTTTCCTCAGACACAAGCGAATGGTTTACTCCACTCTGGAGAAGAACACAGTTTGCTCTCTTGAACACCAACAGCAGATAACCACGGAACATAGGAAGTGTAGCAACTGCTAGAATATTGAACTGTCGTCCACACAAAACAAATAAAGACAACTGAAAACCAAAACACATGCAACTGCCAACATGCATGTAACAGCGACTGCAAGCCAGAACTACAGACTCCGCGCAGGGAGGAACAGGGGAAACAGAGGTAACGCTTCCGACTCCGAGAGCCTCAAATAGCAGCGGACAACACAATACATCAACCTTGCGTGTCACCTTGCGCTACCGCAAACGGACACCCATGGATGCATAGTACAGCACAGACTCAGTGCATGCACGAAACGGAGTACATGTTAACCGACAACGGTCACCTTGCACCCTATGCAGTAAGTTACAGAGGCGGTGCCAACAAAAGAGCAGGGTACGTGTATAGTGCGCACTCCAATGGCACAGCAGAAAATGTTCTCACCAATAGCCACTGCTAGCTGTTTGTCATCTTGACTTTTGTGATAGTCTTCTGTGGTATTATGACTGGTTGATGAGGCAGATAGTGCACTCTGGCACCCACAGGTGTAGAATGGCTCACTTGTTCGGCGGATGCCTTGTCGCAGCTGCTGCTGGATCACGTTGTCGCATTTGACCTTGAGTTCCGGCTCGACTTCTAGGCGCTTGGATAGAGACTGGAAACGATCGAGTTGAGTGACAGTTGAGATGAATTGCCTAATGGCTAGGTCGTTGTTAGTAAAATTGGCTGAATCCTGGATGCCAATGCAGTCTAAGTCCCACAGATCTTGGATGGTGCAGGAGTCAGAAGTCGCATCAGTTAGAGAAACGATAGCTGGCATGGCTGCTCATCGGCGTAGCTGAGTGCTTGGAGTGACGTGTTCGGCCAGTCACCACAAAACCGACTGTGGTAGGCAGAAACTGTAGTCCTGATGGAAGTCCTCTGGTGCTCCCCGTCATAAACTCCCAGAGGAAATCTGCACCGATCAAGACGACTGACGATCTTACGGTTGATGGCGATACTGGTTGATGATGCACTAGCTGCTGTTGTGCTAGATGCTTGTACCTCGTCAGCCACAGGCTGATCAGCTACTATGTTGGTACTGCTGTCAGATTTCTGTTGAGATTCCGGGCAGATCGTGACATGATGGTGACCCATGCGAGAACACACATTACACTTGCGGGTGGCCTTGCACTGAGTTGACCGGTGCCCTGTGCGCAAACACACAAAGCAACGCTTCTGTTCAATCAGTTATTCTTTCCGCTGTGCTACTGTTGTGTATTTCGTGCAGCTCTTGTCCAGGTGAGATCCACCGCAGAATGCACATCATCTCATACTGCTGGCATTCCAGTTACCATCAGACCGCCTCCTTCTCGTGAACTTGCATGCGCCTGTCACCAGTGCACCTGCAGAATAGTGAGTGACATCTTCTGCTGTAGTACCGCCTGTGTTTGTGCGGCGCAGAAAGGCGTCTTGCATGATAACATAACGCTTCAGTGCTGTTCTGAAGTCGTTCGGTTTCCATTGTATCCCAGCATCTGAAAAGCCTCGCGATTCTTCGTCGTCAGGTTGCGATTCGTCCAGTTGAATCCGCGTTCGTCATGATCCGTATCCTGGTCACAGCACCAGGTGACGATCTGGTGACATCGGACGGATATAATACACAAGAGACAATTGTGATATTAATAAAAAAATTTTCATCTAAAGAGTGAATAGCAACTAAGTAGAGTGGTTGTCAGTTATTAATAAATTATGCGGTTGTCAGTTGACAACGCCCCTTTTTATTTACAATGCAGTTGCGTGATGTCCACCACTTTCTGTACATAATCTAAGAGTCCTAAAACAGCCACTGACTTCCAACTACCAAGGGAAAGCAAGCCCAAGCGCAGGAGAACCGTGCGCACGCGCGGGTACGTGACATATAATATCGTAGTAGAGCTGGCAGACAGGGCATGATCAGGGGTTCAGGCCCTGCATGTAAGCGCGCTGATTGGCTCAAACCCTGGCAACAATCACGTGGCATGTCTGAAATTACAAGTAGTTGTGATTTATGCTAAAGTTCAAACTGACGGAACACGTGCAGCGCTACACCGTGAACCATGTGAAAACAAAAAGAAGTAGAGGAGACACGGGATAGCAGACATGAACTCGGGGTCAAACTGATAAGTGTGTAACGTGAATGCATGCAGTATATGGAGACAAAACAAAGTCGCAGAACTCAGTACGTAACAAGACAGTACTACACACTAAACTCGTACATGTGAATGTCACAACACCATATGAATTAGCTCTTACACCCCACTTACGTTTCAGTCAGTAAGAGTACACATGCGTACTTACGTTGACTCCATTTTATCTGACTAGTCCAACGCCATTGTTGTGAGCCTTCGACACTTGGGAATACACAGGAGAGATAAGATAGCGGCGAGAGCGTCTCCCTGCTCTGTGAACACAGCTCAGACGCCATGCTTCATGATTGTGTGTCCATGGAATACAAGGACACAATAGACTTAGTGCAGCTAACGAAATGGATGAACGGACGACGGCCTGAGTGTTCTCCTTCCTCGATGAACACTGGCAGCCACCATATACGATGCTTGAAACACCATCGGCGCAGGCCACGTTTTTTGGCACCGACGATTTGTTCGTCCACCAACAGTCGAAACAAATGTTTCTCACTTGAACATTCCGTAGAGCTGCCGCTGTTGTGGCAAGGCCCATTGGTGCATGGTGTGTATACTCCAAATCTACATGTATGATGATGGGTCACTTCTGACGTTTGTGCTCTTGGACAGTGCGACAGTGCAACGCTGCGTGAAGATAAGTTGTGGCTCCACAATCGCTGAGAACGCTAGTGTGCGTCCATGGAATACTAAAACACAATAGGCGCGGCGCTGCTAAGGCCCACTTGGATGAATCGGACGACAGTGGTGGCGAGTGCATTCTCCTTCCTCGGTGAACACTACTGGTCACCCCGTTTGATGATCCACCAAACACCATCAGTGCAGGCCGCGTTTTTTGGAACCAGCGATTTGTTCGTCCACCAACAATTGAAATTAATGTTTCTCACTTGAACGATCTGTAGAGCTGTCGCTGTCGTGACAAGGCCGTGTGTACTCCAAATCTACATGTAGGATGAAGAGTAACAGTTAATACTGCTGATAATGAAGTTTGCGCTCGTGGACAATACAACGTTGTGTGAAGTAAATTGTGGCTCTACAATCGCTCAGAATGCTAATGTGTGTCCATGGAGTACTAAAACGCCCAACGTGGATGAAACGGACAACAGCAGCGGCTAGAGCGTTCTCCTTTCTCGGTGAACACTGCTACAAGACACTACCGGTATGCTTGATGATTCACCAAACACCAAGTCACCATCGTTGGGGGCCAATTAAGTAGTTTTCCGGCACCAGCGAGTTGTTCGTCCAGCAACTAACTTTGGGTCTTTCTTCAACACTTCGTAGAGCAGCCGCGCAAGGCCTTTCCTTCACGTTAGGGTAGCGATCCTTCCTAGATGCTATCGCCATTCATTGTTACTTTTTACTACAATGACACTCCAGGCAGTAGTGTTTCTCCGAAAATAAAGTAAGCTGCAAAAGAGTCAGTACTCTCACAACAGTCAGTAGCCATGGTAGCAGCTCGGCCTAGCTGGACTTGTAAAAATTAATTTTGCAAGTCTTCAATCATGTTTGCTTGTACGCGCGCGCGCTATCCATCCATGGCGTGAACAGATTGCTTGACGTGAAAGGTAACGAGTCGCGTCGCGACGTCGACTATCGTGCGCGTATACTGTACGATCACGACTCGACTGTACTAGTACTAGTAGTCTAGTAGTGATCGTAGATCTACGCGCACGCGGACGTGTCTGACACGTGAAACGAAAAGAATTATTTGGCGGGTAGTCGGCAAAAATTAAGTGACGGTCCCTTTGTCCTTCGCCTTTGTTTGGCTTTACTTTACTAGTCCTTCGCGTGCATGCGTACATGAGCAAGTCACGGACCACGCGCGTGGTCCGTGACTTGCTCATGTATGCACGCGAAGGACTAGTAAAGTAAAGCGTATAAAGCCAAACAAAGGCGAAGGACAAAGGGACCGTCTCTTAATTTTTGCCGACTACCCGCCAAATAATTCTTTTCGTTTCACGTGTCAGACACGTCCGCGTGCGCGTAGATCTACGATCACTAGTACTAGACTGTGCACGGCACGTCTGCGGTTACCATGCCATCTCAACCGACGCCATCTTTCTAAGTATTAGTTGCCGCTTCTTGCCACTGACAAAAGTGACAGCCATGGAACACTACTACTACTAGTAGTACTAGTACTAGTGCGGGACCGGTTCTCACTCCGACTCCGAGCATTTTTGTCGGCAGGTATGGTGGAGGCAGAGAGCTAGAGGGAGAGTGGACTCAGTGGAGTGAGGTTTTGAAGACACAACGACACGTGCAGCACGTTCCTGTTTTTCCAGCGGTTTCATGGCAGGAGCTGAGTAGAATACAGCCGTCGGTGCAACGTTACTTGCCAAGCCGTCCGACCTACTGTATCACTATGCACTACCCAGGTCTGTGATCAACCGTAAGTCTCAGTCAATATGGAAAGAAATTATTTTGTTCTCAAAGAACTCTCCGAGATTCCCAAGATACTACAGTGTGTAGATAGTCATTTGCTTTTGCGTTTGGCCTTGGGGGAATCCTGTAAATAGATAACAAGCGGAGAATCAAGTAGAGTCGGACAGTGTAGAGTTGAGGATGTCCTCATTGAAACTCCCCCCCCCCCCCCCCCCCCCCCCAGTCTCGATGATCTGATCTGTGCTGCCAGCTGAGGTCATCATATTATTATCGGACACCACCAGATAATTCACCATGTTCTGGGAAACTGATCCAAAATGTACCTTTCCAATCTCGAAGGAGCACTCAAATAAGGAATCCATAAATAAATAAAATTTAATATACATGTATAATAGTGTAAATAGTGTACTGTTTGTACAGTAAAACCTAGTGCGACCACCCCATATGGTGCCAACAAAAGCGGTCGTTAAAGCCAGGTGGTCTTTAGAACCAGGTCCCATACATTCGTGGCATATATCAGATTGTGTACATACTGTGCATACATGTATGTACATGTATGCCATTGATTGTACTTCCATGTACTGTATAACACGTTAAGGTGGCAGACTACCCACAAATTCGCTGAAAAATCGAATTTGTAAATTCATATTGAGTGCTACGTCAGTTGAAAGAGCATGAATAGCTGCAACTTCTCTGAAAATTGTGTCCCGATCTGACCAGCCGTTCAAGAGTTATGGCCGAAAATGTGCCCTTGGAAGGAAAGATTTTTTTGTTGCACGCTGTCATTTGTTGGCAGCACTGTATTTGAATGTGAGCAGAACGTGCGCAACTTGTCGTATTATGGTCCAAAAAAGTCCAAAAAATCACGTTAAAAACCACGTATTGGGCCGCCGTGCAGCAGGACTTTTGCCAGCACCCTCGTGACGTTGCAGATATGTGGCTTGATTTTTGTAGTTGACGTTGATTTAGTGACTTTGGCAAGTTTGAGTCGTGTCAAGAAGTCAGGTAGGATTCAGTACTAGGCAGTAGTGGAACGTGAGTGGTAGTCTTTGCCGGTTTCTGAGAGTATCCTGGATTTGGTGTACAGCGCTGTGGAAATGGCTTGCTGTGGACGTCCCAGCACTGGATGTTGTATCAAAGGTACGACCTCGTAGCACGTGCTAAACCTAAAAAAATTCAAAAATTGACTTGGGTCTGTGGGAGTCTGTGAGAGAACACCCACTCGTTCCGTTGTGACAGATTCCAGGGCCACGTTGAGGGGCCCTACCCCACCACCCATGGCTGCTTCTGGACTTGTTTTAGGTTTGGGTCCCGTGCACGGACAGAATGGGCACGAAAATGTGAAAAAATTGTAAATGCATTTGTTTGGCTCCTGGATGGCTCGCACACCGTGGCACTATGCCGGAAATTTGAGTTTTTCCGGCCTGGAAAGCCTGTCAGTGAGGCGCAAGAACTTGCAAATCATGTCCTGAGGGCCAGCATAGTGGCAGGAGTGTGTGGTCAAAATTTCACTCAAATCCATTGAGAAACACCAAAGTTACGGTCAATTGAATGCCATATGAAATTTATGGGTAGGCTGCCCCCCTTAATATCGGTGTAACAATTTACTTCAATGTCGGCAGAGAAACCAGGCACCTAAATTTAGGTAACTAGTACACTTAAAAGTTTGGTTTTTATTATTTCAGTTCGTTGCCTCAACAGTACAAAGTACAAATATCAAGAGGGACGAACGAAAAGAGAAAATACAACAGAGCAGAGAGGAAGGGGGGGGGGGGGGGCGAAGCGCCCCCCCTACTCTGTTTGCGCGCCCCCTGTGAAAAAGTGCCGCTCCCTAACTGATTTTCCGATTTTCGTGTTTTTCATGCAATTCAGCGAAAATGCAGTCGGAAGTCACTGTTACATGGTTCATAAAGGCACGTCATTTGTCTGGAGCAAAGTCGGGGATTCTCCCTATACGTTGCATTCAGCGTGGCAAGACAATATTGGAAAGTGGAAAAAATGGGATATGGGGCAACTGTTTCCCATGTCCCCCCCCTACTATTTTGAACTGGCTAGAACCCTCCTCGACTTTTCAATGTTTAATGATTTTAATAATTATGTACATGTTATGCCCTAAAAAGAAGCATAATAACTATCCCCGAGCGTTATGTGAGCACTATTAAATAGTCATGTAATTAATTATTATAATGCTTACATAATGCTCGGGGATTAGGCTTTCCCCAAATCGGCCCGTTTTTTTCGCCTATTTGGCTTTTCGCTAAGCTCAAAAATACATAAGACTCAGCTGCAAAATCAGCTGATTATTCGAAAAACCGGCTGCAAAATTGGAGTATAATTATTGGGAAATCGGCTAAAAACTTTGTTGGCATAATGGCTTCAAAATTGGTGAGATACTGGAAGATTTGGTAGATTTTCGGCGATCCCCAAAGAAATCCTCCAAAATCGGCGAAAAGCTCGGCGATTTTTCGATAAGTCTCGTTTTCGGCGCCAGAATGGCTGAATCCGCTCCATTCAGCGCTTCGAAAAAGGCTGACTGCTGAGAACAGCTGAAGCCGAAAATTAACCCGTTTCAGCTATATCATTCGTTCGTAAACTCACTTTGCCACAAAATTTGGTAGATTTTCGGCGATTCTCAAAGGAACCCTCCGTAATCGGCAAAAGGCGAAAAAAAGCGATTTTTCCATAAGTCTCGTTTTCGACGAATTTTTCTGCCGGCCGATTTGGGGAAAGCCTATCGGGGATAACTAGTAAGACACACCAAACATGATCATGGAACATGACATTCAAAAGATACGAGGAATCGTAATAATAATAATTATTATTGTTGTAAACGTATCCTGGTGCAGTTACATAGACGTAGGAGCATTACAGCCACGCAGGGATAATACCCCTATACAGTAATAGACTAATAGTAATGCCTCGAAATTAAAACCCCCGTAATTATAATGGTCAGTATAACATGGTATAATACTGGCATTACCCGCTCACCCCTACCTAAAAGGCGCTGGAGTATGCACTGCATATGAAGGGTAGGCTGGTCACCTGCATTACGCCTGAAACCTGGCAGGTCCTGATAGTGCGGGGTCCCATTTCGAAAAAGAGTCGTATTTTAGAAGTTTCGTGGCAAGTAGGAGCTCACCATTTTTTTAGAGCTGTTTCTGACTAAGTTGTGGCTGCTGAAGACGATAAAAGTATCGGCAAGTCTGTGCAGTTGTCCGTTTGTTAGATATGGCGATCTTCCGCTGCATACGGAAATTGTACATGTACTCGAACCCAGTCATTCTAGGGTATTGTGGGTTTCTGCATACAGAGTCCGTCAAGAAGCATTTTGACGTTTGAAGAAAAGCTTGCTCTAGAGTGTTTTGGAGCGGAATCAGGCGGGCAGACCCGAAGCGGAACAGGCACGATCTGAGCAAGTGTATGGTGTGCCAGGATTATAAACCTGACGCGCAGAACAGGCGCTTGGCAGAGAAATTTACTCAGTGCGCCACATACGAGGCAGAGTTTAGTCTGCTCGATGCTGCTCGTACACGCAGCCACGCTAGAATATTGAACGAACTTGAAAATCAGGATAACGTCTCAAACCGACAGGTGGTAAAGGAGCCTCTTTTATGGGCCAATAAAAAATAAAAAATCCAATCTGAAGAGCAATGTCAATAAAGCCGCTCATAACGCTAAAAATCAAATCAATTCAGGAAAATTCAATTCAATTCAAAGTCAGGATGGTACAGCGAATGAGATCAAGTATCACCGTAGCTGTTTTTCACTGTACGTAAACAAGAAGTCTCTGAAACGTCTTGCTAATGATGCAATGGATTCTGATCTGGCCCAGAATGGCGATGTGAAGGCGCAGACATTCATGAAATTGTGTGAGTGGATTGAAATTAGTGTCCTGACTCAGAGTAACTCCGCAACAGATATGACTGAAGTATGTAAACGTTACAGTCGATTCCTGGACGAACTAGGATTGATTGGTCATGTTCAGAGGTCCTTCGCGGTGAAGCAACGCCTCATGGAACACTTTGGCGACCGGTTGCAGTTCCATCAGCCGCTTGAGACAGACATGTAAATAGTTTGGTTGTCTTTTCACTTGTATTTAACTATGTCGGCTCAGAGTCATTGCTACTGTATTCTAATTGCTGCTGCGCTTGAGTACATGACACGGCCAATGTACTTTTCATTTTTTGTAGCACCAACACGAAATTTGTATCAGGGGCTGAGCGCCACATTACACAGCTCGAAGTTTTTGACAGCCATGCCACAGACTCGCATGAAAATCAATTTCATTGTATTTGTACAGTTGCTCGCACTGACCTTGCAAGTCCACCTAAATTTTACATTTTACTTTTTTCAATGTATTCAGCTGAATGATGTTTTATTGCCACCAGGGAGTCGTACCCTCCCTGACTGCCACCAACTGGAGTCTAAAACGGACTCTGTATGCAGAAACCCACTATACTCTAGAATGACTGGGTTGGATTTTTTTTACAAAAAAACACACACTCCATTTGACGGCACAAAGCAGCAAGGCAGCGATGAGACATATGGAATGGCAGGAGTGGGGGAGAGGCAGGGGAGAGGCAGCTTGACCGACCATAGGGTCTCGGCTTCATTGCAACCCAAGCGCTCCACAAAACAAAAGATTACAGAAAATACGCAGGGGGGGGGGGGGGGTAGATAACTGTACATGTGAAATTTCCATATGCAGCGGAAGATTGCTATATCTAACAAACGGACAACTGTACAGACTTGCCGATCGTCTTCAGCAGCCACAACTTAGTCAGAAACAGGTCTAAAAAAATTGTGAGCTCCTATAGGTTACGAGTTTCTAGAAAATACCACCTTGGACCTTAGACTATGACACTGAAATTTTAGTTCACCTAAAATCACATGACATACAGTACTGCTAGTGATAGGTGTGGAGAATACTTGTGCAGGCAAAGCACATGCATGCACCTCACTCAAGTACATGCAGCGCATCCACTGTCAGGTGTCACTTCTGTTGACTGCATGCACTTGCTTCAGAGCGCACTTCAACCATGTTGTAGTCAACCCTACCAGCCAAGATGGCACTTTTGGTTACGGGTTTGGTCGCTGTGTGCAGGTCGAATATGGCACTTGGTACACGAAAAGTCGGTCGCTGGTCGCGCAAGGCAGGTGATTGCTGTGTCCCGTGCAGTTTCTGTATAGAAATGTCCGTACATGGAAAAACGGTTTTTCAAAACAGAGGTTTCTTACACCAGGTTTTGCTGTACATGTATGTGCAGCAGAAAAGTGGTAAGGTTGCATAGGGTGAACATCCATGTTGCCCTATAACACCAGGAAACAGTGGTAAGGTTGCATAGGGTGAACATCCATGTTGCCCTATAACACCAGGAAACAGTGGTAAGGTTGCATAGGGTGAACATCCATGTTGCCCTATAACACCAGGAAACAGTGGTAAGGTTGCACAGGGTGAACATCCATGTTGCCCTATAACACCAGGAAACAGTGGTAAGGTTGCATAGGGTGAACATCCATGTTGCCCTATAACACCAGGAAACAGTGGTAAGGTTGCATAGGGTGAACATCCATGTTGCCCTATAACACCAGGAAACAGTGGTAAGGTTGCATAGGGTGAACATCCATGTTGCCCTATAACACCAGGAAACAGTGGTAAGGTTGCATAGGGTGAACATCCATGTTGCCCTATAACACCAGGAAACAGTGGTAAGGTTGCATAGGGTGAACATCCATGTTGCCCTATAACACCAGGAAACAGTGGAAAGGTTGCATAGGGTGAACATCCATGTTGCCCTATAACACCAGGAAACAGTGGTAAGGTTGCATAGGGTGAACATCCATGTTGCCCTATAACACCAGGAAACAGTGGTAAGGTTGCATAGGGTGAACATCCATGTTGCCCTATAACACCAGGAAACAGTGGTAAGGTTGCATAGGGTGAACATCCATGTTGCCCTATAACACCAGGAAACAGTGGTAAGGTTGCATAGGGTGAACATCCATGTTGCCCCATAACACCAGGAAACAGTGGTAAGGTTGCATAGGGTGAACATCCATGTTGCCCCATAATACCAGGAAACAGTGGTAAGGTTGCATAGGGTGAACATCATTGTTGCCACATAACACCAGGAAACAGTGGTCCGTGAAAGGTCTTCAGTTTGCATTTTGTCCACTAAAATACTACCGACATACTATTGGGTCAGAAGATGCAACAGCAGCACAATACTGACGGAAATCAGCTCTGTCACATTGGTGGATAACGGTGCAAAAAAATACTAAACTTTAGGTCATTCCCTTCATTATTTTCTTGGCACCACTTCCAAGCTTATAACAAATCAGTTCATGCAACATTTGGTGTCTGGAAATGGTGCACATGTCTGATCTTTCGCTGAATGTTTGGCCCCTCTGAACCTACTACATATTATAGAAATAATGAAAATTAATGTGTTTTCGAGAAGACAGAAAAGATATTCTTCAAGTGCAATAACATTCACAAATTGAACTCGGATGTTGAGCCAATGTTATCACGGATATAATGAAGGTCAATAATGTTACGAGTTATGACTAACTGTCCACCAATGTAACCAGATCATACATACAGTGAGTCAGCTAGTGCGACAACATGGCACAAAACTGACAAGGAGTACTGTGACATTGAACGACCTGACACCTACCGGTAGCTCCAACACATTTACTAGGCACAAATCAGCAACCTTCCACCTTGAAAGGCTCAGGATAGGAAAGGTCCAAAGAGGGGAAGGAAAGCGCAACGAATATGAGCACGAGCTATGTCCCAGGGCAACAAAGAATGCTGAGCGTTATTGCTTCCCCCAAACTACCATCATAGGTATAGCTGCAGGTCTAATTGCCATAATGTCTACATATGCATGCTCATGTAGTCCTTTCTGTGTGCTTTGCTCTTCTGTGTTGTGTGGGTGGAGTAGATGGCATGTAGGGATCAAGATCCAACATCCCGAGACAAGGGTGATGGTGACTCTCTAGATCACGTGCAAGTAGGATTTCTGATTGATCCTGATAAAGACTATCCACTGGAGCGACTATTCTCTGAACCCATTGCGGAGTTGATCAGGGCATGTGTTGATGGTGATCAGGAAGCCGTGCCTTGTAATGTTAAGCCAGGAGACGATGCTAAGCCTGGCTTTAATCCGAAGGATATCGATGTAAAGGCAGCTGGACTACTGTCTTCACCGAACCAAGTCAATGTCACGCGCATCAGTAAGGGAGAATGTACTTGGTTCTGACTTGTTTACATCATAGTTTTGCTGGTGACTACTAGAACTTTAGAAGAGTTGACTTCATTTTACCGAGGCCAGTATTTCACTATCAGTGATCCCCACCACTCCACAACATGCTCTCGCCTTACCCACTGCGCTTTCACAGCACGGCATGACCCGGCATAGTCAGGACAATTCCTCTGTTGGAGTTAACCGGCACTGTGCCTAGAGTCTCTGACAACATAAATGTCTAAACAGAACTGCGCTCACTATGGTAGTGTTGTGCAGGTGGAGTGGGTCGGCCGAGAGCACTTAACTTAGTGGAGATCAAGAACCATTTAGACACTTTCTGCAGCTTAATGTCAGAACCAAACGTGTGTTTGAGCAAAACACCACTACTCACTACACACTACTGCCTACCCTCGTGTTTTTTTCACCACTAACATTCAATCAATTTGGGGTTTAAGGTGAATAGCAGTGCAGATTGGAGTTCTAGGGGTTGGCTTCAAAAACACATTTGCCACTAGGACACATGGTTTTATAATTATTCCCAAACTCCTTTGCAGCACTATACTAGTAACCCAATCCTTTATACCCGTAGCTATGCAAAAGACGTTACTTTAGTCACGTCTGGCGCTTGCCGGGGTCCACACAGCTTTAACTCGGCATGCCTGGCACTATTTCGCACATGTCCCGTACCGTACTATCATTCCAATAGGGCTTTCAACTGCAAGATCATAACATGAAGAAACTTGGAACCGTTTGTCTCTTTCCCTCAAAACCAGTTAAAACTTGGAAGAATGTGTTTGTATGCGAAGTGTATCGGGGGAATGCATGCAGGGTGATAGTGCGAGTTCGAATCCCAAGTTATGTCTTGAAAAAAAGGAGAAATGAAAATGACGCGTCATTTCACGAAGGTTTTATTGAGATGTCACGAACAAATTCTAGTCCTGTCAGTTTTTTTCTTGGGGCTAGTAGTTTTCAGTCCGTGTTTTCGTTAAGCGGTTCTCCTTCCGGTTCTGAGGGAACTGATCCTGTGCTGGTGACGAACGAGGTGAGTATAGCGGCGTCGGATATTGGTTCCGCGTCTAGTGTTAGTAGGAAATCGGCCCGCAGATCGGTCTTTAGACCCAGATCTGTTTTGCTGGAGCATTTCCAGCAGCTGGAGTTATCAGTAGCCTAGATGTTTGCTTCCATCGAGAATTTTATGTCCCGATTCGATCAGGCGTCCGGGAGTTAGTCGAGGAGACCGATCCGTGCATATCGATGTTGAGGGCGAAGATGAGTCAGACCCGAACGAGACGTCATCTCTGGCAGATTATGACTGTGACTCGCTCTCATTCTACCTGAGACCCTCTACAGTTCTAACGCATACTTCTCCTTCCTAACATCAGCCCAAAGACACCAGTTATCTGTACTGGATAAAAGGTGCATTCGTGCAGTGGCCAAACAGTCGGTGCTCACACACAACGCCCCTTTGTACACCCACTTCGGACTGATCCCTGTGCTGGAACGAGCTGAGCAGTATTCATACCCTTAGGATAAGTGAACTGATCCACCAGTGATTGTTTCGTCTACCTCCTCGCACCACCTGTGTCACCGACCAACTCGCATATAGTGTCGCTGCGGCGCGCAGTCACTCAGGTGAATGTTGCCCCTTAGTTGCTGCCGTCAAGCTATGGAATAACTTGCCCCACGAGTTTTAGAACCGCGGGGCGTGGAGCTACCTCAGCGGCCGTATCCTGGAGAGATATGTTACTGCTCACGGACGAACCCTGGCAATGATCAGCAAATTCAGATTGAACTCGGTTGAGCTGCTCGTTTCCTTGCTTTAATTGTATTCTATATTCGTCACGCGTTCTATATCGCATATGTTTTTATATCGCCATCAATATCCTGTTTGGCTGTTGTCGCTTCGGCTTATGCGAAAGCTATACACGCTGTGTACCGTATTTGCCGCAGTACAACGCACACCTGAGTATAATGCGAACCCCCATTTTTAAGCAATGTTTTGGCAATTCAAGATAATACTAGTATGCGGAGAATAATGCGCAGCCTAGATTTGAGAGCAGTATTAACCACAAATACAGTATAAGAGTGCGACCATTGTCATAAAAGTGCATTCAGATGGCTTGCGCAGGGTCAGAGGTGGCACACTTCGTAACAGTTTGATGCATTGCACTACTTTTCGAAGTACATGTTCATTTTTTTCATATTCGGAGCATAGTGCGCACCAGCGATTTCGGGCCAGAAGTAGTGCCTCCAAAGTGCGCACTATACTCCGGCGAATACGGTATATCTACATTGCATTGATGCCAACACGGAGAAGCTTCTAATAATAATAATAATAATAACAATAATAGTAGAAAGGAAAAGGACATATGGAAACTAGTTAGGAGTAACTCTCCACCACTGTAACTAGATACTATATACAGTCAGAAAGTGCAACAACTAGGCACAAAACTGACAGAGTACTGAGACATTCGACGTCCTGACACCTAGCTTCAACACATCTCCGTAGCGCAAACCGCTACGCTACGGAGATGTGTTGAAGCTAGGTGTCAGGACGTCGAATGTCTCAGTACTCTGTCAGTTTTGTGCCTAGTTGTTGCACTTTCTGACTGTATATAGTATCTAGTTACAGTGGTGGAGAGTTACTCTTAACTCGTTTCCATATGTCCTTTTCCTTTCTACTTTTATTATTGGCTCAATACCCGAGTTTCAAATAACAATAATAATATCAATTTTGAACGGATTGGGAGAACTTCAAATACAAAGGATAAGTTGGGGAAGTGAACTGCCTGAAAAGAGAAAAATCCGCCAGACCCACCAGGACTCGAACCTGGGACCCTGCTTGTCATGAGCAATGCTCTAACCACTGAGCTATGGGACCAGGCTGAACCTAGAAAGCGCTGACAAGTTTTTCACTCCAAAGGCAGCTCACAACACGTGCCACACATACTGATGGCACTTGGGTCTTTCTCCCTCCCCCAGGGGACTGATCCTTTGTTTTTGAAGTTTTCCCAATCCGTTCAAAATTAATCACTTTTCTTTCACTTCTGGTAGGGTCCAGAAACTGACCGTGGTTGGTCCCCTGGGGGAGGGAGAAAGACCCAAGTGCCATCAGTATGTGTGGCACATGTTGTGAGCTGCCTTTGGAGTGAAAAACCCGTCAGCGCTTTCTAGGTTCAGCCTGGTCCCATAGCTCAGTGGTTAGAGCATTGCTTATGACAAGCAGGGTCCCAGGTTCGAGTCCTGGTGGGTCTGGCGGTTTTTTCTCTTTTCAGGCAATAATAACATGCAGGGGGCGATAGTATGTACCGTATATGCATATACAGTAAAACCTGTAATGGCGACCACTCGACCATGGCGACCACTCGACCATGGCGACCATGGCGACCACGTTTCCTTGTCACGGACGCATTCACATTCAAAACACCTCGGATAAGGCGACCACTCCCTCAACGCGACCGGCGACCACCCACCCACCCACGACCGCGTTGCACAGTGCTAGTCATGTAAATGTATGCATTGCATGGTGCACCAGGCATGGTAGATCTACACATCAGTGCAGGAAGTGTAGATGTGCATGGTGCATGCACGACATTTGACAGGTCTGAGGACCCCAGGCACATGAGTCGTGCTAGAGTAGCATAGGTGTGTGCACTGTGATGCACTGATCAAAATGATGTATCACATGTGGATATGGTCACGTGACCCACTGAACATGGATAAGAAGACCACCTGGCCACGGCGACCACTTTTTCTCGTCCCTTGAGGGGTCGCCTTAGACAGGTTTCACTGTACACGTTTTTAGGTTGACAGAAAACGTGTTTCTACAATACAGGGTGGTTTATCTAATATGGAAATATATACACAAGAGAGAGATTGGAAGCTTTGTTACAACTCTGAGTTTCACGTATTACTAGTACTACGATCATCAGGCAACTGATGGATCCAAGACGGGCAGCCAGAACATAAGGGGGAGCAAGGTGGGAAATTCTGAGGGGTATCATAGGCGACGCGTATCATAGCGCAAGAGTCAGGTGCAGGCGTGAAGTTGCCACGTCTATGGAAATATATATGTAAAGGATTTCTGGAGCATCGTATGCGTTGAGATATGCTGGAAAGAAATAGGGGACGAGAACGAAATGCAATTAGAATTCACGCTAGTTTTAAGAGAGAGCTTTTGAACCATTGATCCAAATAGCTTAGGAAGAAAACGTTAACAGTTTCCTCTGAGACAAAAATGCGATAGTACTCATAAAAATGACACACTTCAGGCTCATTACAAACATCTTGAAAGTTTTTGTCTTCACAAGTATACTTTCAAGCCTTCTCGTCAGGTGAAATACAGGCAAGGGAAAAGGAACAGGAACAGTGGATTAAATACAGTAAGAAGGTGGTAAAACAGCGCAAAAAAAAGAAAGAAGATAGCTAAAGTAAACAGCGAAAATAGCAATAATGACACAAAGGTGCAAATGCGAGAAAACTCAATAAGCGTGACATGTAGTGTAGTAGTGCGACAACAAGAGACAACCACTGGACATACATGTAACTAACGAGGTTTTGACGACCTACCTAACAGCCTAAGTGTGAATTTGATTTGTTTCTGCTTGTTCCTTTTCCCTTGCCTGTATTTCACCTGACGAGAAGGCTTGAAAGTATACTTGTGAAGACAAAAACTTTCAAGATGTTTGTAATGAGCCTGAAGTGTGTCCTTTTTATGAGTATTAAGAAAACGTTAAAGAATATATTAAGCCAACCCAAGCTCCGTATCCCATTCTATTCTGTTAAAAAGAATATAGAAGTAAGTGGCCAATTCAGGGCTTGCCACGACCGTACAAAGCGTCAATAACGGTCATTTGGATTTGACCAATCAGCGCATGGAGGGTTACCGTCTCGAATTTTTCGATTTGGCCTTCGTTTGGCTGAGATCGGATGGTGAAATCACTCAAACTTGAAGACGTGCGAACATGTGAATGAAGAGAAAATAATAGA